CAAATTACCTACTTTTCACTTCTAGAGTCAAAATTATCCCAACAAACCAATATGGGTCATTTTAGCATTTTTTGTCCTCACACACATGCTTCATGGGAAAGTTTTCAAGAGGTCACTCAACGTAGAGTTGCTCTAAGCAAAACAATGATTGAACTGTCGAAAAGGAAAATGCACCTTATTGGTATAGATAATGATTTTCAATTCTTTTAACATGATATGTCATGTACACTTATTAACATGATTACTTTAGGATTATGAAATACTGTTATGTTATGTCACATATGTGTTCATGAAAGTTATATTTATGAAAGAACGAATGTACGACCTACATCATAGGTTATGACATGATTTAAAGTTATGGAGAACTCATGCATTGTTGTATTGTCACGTGCATTAGGATACTTCCCCATTATGATGAGTATAAACACGTACATTGTGATATCTATGTACGCCATGATATTATGCGGGCTTCTTTCCCTCTATGGCTCAGGCAACGTGAGCGTGCACTACCTGAAGGGTAGGCCCAGGGGGTGCGTGTATGCTCGTTTGGTGGCTCCATATACATGTACATGGGTCATGTGTAGAGAAGTACTACACATCCAATTTTTGCCTGGACGGTAAAGCAGAGTTCAAGGCCATGAAATGTTTAATGAAAGAATAGGTCCCACCATGATTGCTTGTGTATGCATCTCCCGACCCTAAGCCAAGTGTTATTCTTACTTTTCAAGTAAAAGTAATGCATCCTTGTACAGATGACGACATCATGGTGACAGTCATGAGACCAAAGTTAGGGTAGATGCATTGATGTTGTTTTTCTTTCGTAGTCTTAGGTTTGTAACTAATGTTAGTGATGTGTCGTAAGTTAGTGATCGTTTGTACCAGGGATAAGTAGAATTTTTTTAAATAATTAAAAAAAAAAGAACAACCCGACAACCCAACTCAACCTTATAAACTCTATTTGAGTTGTTCGAGCACCAAACCAATCAATCCAAAATTTCGAATTGGTCCAAAAAAATTTCCCAACCAATCGAACTCGTGGGTATCCATAGATATCAAGTTTCAAAAGAAGGGCATGAAAAAGTTGATGGGTCTGTGGAAAAAACAAAATGTTAAAAGAAAACCCACGTTTTAATATGAGGAAAGAAACCCTAATGGTATCACATCGAACAGCCCCACAATGGAAAGGTAATTTCCTCGAAGGATTGTAATTTGTAGGCGGATTTTCCCCTTTAAAAACCAAACACAAGTGCGCCCTCTTTTCCACCCACTTTCCCTTCTCTGATTCCCTTTTTCTTACACATATATATGCATAATTCAAGCCCTCATCTCTCTCTGTTAGGGCTCTAAAGAACTCACCATGGTGAGAGCTCCATGCTGTGAGAAAATGGGGCTCAAGAAAGGCCCTTGGACACCTCAAGAAGACCAGATTCTCATCAATTATATCACCCTCTATGGCCATGGAAATTGGCGAGCCCTCCCAAAGCAATCTGGTAAGTTTATATGTCCTTTTACTCAAAACCCATTTTAGAAAAATCTAGCTTTTCTATGAACTTAGCCAAGAAATGAGAGGAAAATGCTTTCTAGCTCGATTTTTCTTCGTTTTCTTACGTGGGTTGGCTCGTTCTTTCATAATTTCTTTCATGCGTTTTAGCAGGATTGTTAAGGTGTGGAAAAAGTTGCCGACTTCGGTGGATTAATTATTTAAGGCCAGACATTAAACGAGGAAATTTAACCAAGGAAGAAGAGGATACCATTATTAAGCTACATCGAGTGCTTGGAAACAGGTTCGTTTCTCCTTAAATCTAAAAGGGTTATCACTACTTGTAGAAAAACTGAACCTAACGTACCAATTCTGAAAGAGCTACGAAATACCTTTCAACAAGTTACTAATGAGTGAGACGGCTAGTTATAGTTAACTCTTTGTCTTTCTAGTAGCTTTTCTTCTCTATTGTTTTTTCTCGGAGAGAGATTCAAACCTACAAATGAAGAAGAAAAAAAAAAGTTTTTTTTTTTATTGAGTTATATATTTTCATTGTGAAAAATTCATCCATTTAAGACAAAATATTAATGTCGGTACAAAAATAAATTATTGAACATAGCTCGATATAGATTTGTAACATATTTTGTGCTCTCTCGTCTCGACGGCAAAAAACCATCATTTGCTTGGTTTTTGTCTTGTTCATGCTTTCTCTAAGTACAAAATGACTAAAATTGTCAATCACATTATTCTAGCCTTTTATTCTAGTTCTCGTGACTCGGGTGTTCTAAAAAATACATATAGTTTAACCATAGTTAATTAATTGTTTCACATTGATTATTGCATAGACTTTAATCCATTTTATGTCATCATGTGACACTAACGAACAAAACTAACGACATTGAACTTAACAAACAAAACATGTTCTTTGTTTTCAACCAATAATTAAGAATCTAAGTTCTTAGTTTTTTCAATAAACTAACATTTTATATGTCTTCTTGATCGTAGATGGTCGGCAATTGCAGCAAGGTTACCGGGAAGAACCGACAACGAGATAAAAAACGTGTGGAATACCCATTTGAAGAAAAGACAAAATTACGCCGCCCTGAACCAGCCGATCTGCGGCGGCGACCAAGAATCTGCAGCACAACCCTTCAAATTGACAACCTTTCACTCCATGCAGAACCCTGCTTCGGCTTCTTCGCCGCTCTATTGCTCCACTGAAAGCTCCTCCATCGTCTTGCCGGAGAACGGTGACTTGTCGACGAATAATCTGCCGGAAGCCGACGAAAACTTCTGGGTGGAAGTTTTGGCTGGCGATCGGATCGCCACCATGAGCCAACAGGGATTTGGAGGTGAAAGCCAAGGACAATTTGGTAATTTAACCATGGATAAACTCGATAGTGTGGATTTTTGGTACAATATTTGTCCGAGGTTAGGGTTATAATCCAATCCAATCCTACTTTATTTTTAAAATTATTATAAAATTAAAAATATTTTATGTTTAATATTTTATGAAATTTTAATTATTAATATAACATAGTTAATTTTTTTTTTTCAAAATAAAAATAAAAGAGAATAATAGGAGATTGAGTTTTCGAGTTTATTCTTTTTTAATTATTATTTTGGATGGAGAGTGATCATTTTTTATTTAAAAAATCAATTATTAATATAACAACGGTTGAATTTTATTGAGTTTTCGAGTTATTCTTTATTAATTATTATTTTGGATTGCGAGTGATTTTTTTTTATTTAAAAAAATCATATTTATACACAATACTAAACTTGGGTCGGGTTAGATTGAGTTAGGTGCCTTGTAAATTTTATTTGAGTTGAGCTATAAATTGTTATAGTCACCAATTTAACCAACTTAAAATTTCGATTTGGTTCAAAAAAATTTCTCGATACAACTTAACTAACTCAACTCAACTTCTATATATAATATATAGTGTCTCGAGCTTATTTTTTTTTTTATAAAAAAATAATTATAAATATATTAGAAAAAACTTAAATATATCAGAAAAAACCAATTTAACCTACTAAATTTCGACTTGGTTCAAAAGTTTTTCCCGATACAATTTAACTAACCCCACTCAACTTCTATATATTCATAGTTTCTCGAGCTTTTTTTTTTTTATTAAAAAATAATTATAAATATATTAGAAAAAAATAGTTGAATTTGAATATTGGAAAGTTGGAGTAAAATATATTCAATTTTATATTGCAAATTGTAAGGCCGACCTAAAATTCTATGTAAAGAGAAGTATTCAAATTGGATTCTTCAAGCATGTTTTAAACCTCTCTATTTATCTTTTTTTTTATGCCTCCCTTAATAATTACCTCTTAAACGACGGTAAAAAGTATAAATGCTATCATTGCTAGTTACTGGGTGGCGTGCCGTGCCAGTGAGAATACTGGCCCCTAAGGGGTGAATTTTCAACTTTTGTGCATTTAGATGGTATTAGAGCCGAACCTCTCAAGAAAGAGAACTTCAAAAAATATAATTTAACTACCAATATAAACACTTCATAACATAATGATCTTCTTGCAAAAAAAATGTAATATATGTCTGTGAGATATGAGGTGAGACAAGGAATATAATCTCGAATTTTCGACCCCGTTTATCTAAAAGAGAGAAATATCTCTCTGTTCCACCATTCTCGACCGAACTGAGAGTTCTTGATATGAACTAAAAGACATCAATCATATAATATACTCTAATGAAGATGTGAATAAAATGTTGTTGAAATTATAAAAGACATTTCAATTTATGCCACATTGAAGAGAATGAAGGTTCATTGTTATAATTTTTGAGTCGATTATAATTTAGAGTTATGATGTTTGTTTAATATTTTTTTAAGGCTTATTTACCGTGGATAATAATGGTCATACAGTCACGTAGTGACTAATCATTGTAACTAACTTCGAAAATGTAGTAAAATGAGCATTTATGTTTTCTAACCAATGACTAAGTTTCTTTGCAATTATACGTAATTTAGATGTCATGTAGAATCATTCAAACTCGACAGAATCAATATTGACTGTGAAATGATTCGAAACTCAAACAACTGTTCTTGCCTTAAGATATTTTATCAACAAGAATCATTCAAGCTAGACATGATCGATCTTGAGTGATTCAAATCTGAAACAAGTATTCTTAACTTCAAATATTTAATCAACAACGTAATCTAATTTTACTTTCGTTCTAAGGGATTCCATATCAATTCTCTCCACTATTCGAGGCAGGTCTCCATGGATTCTAACCCCATAAATTAAATGAACGTCTCTAATTAAAACTTGAGTTGTACGACACGAGTCATTCGATAGCCGCACGAAAACAAAAATGAGATAAAAGACGAAGGGTGAAGGCAAAGAAAGAAAAACAAAGACAAATGGTGGGTGTGTACAAAACCATTTCCATGCATTCACCACGTCCTAGATTCCAAATTCAGAGAGCAGCCCAAATGTTGCTTCATTTCAACACCAAACACTCCCCTTTGTTCTATATATTAACCCCTTTCTCAATCCCATTCATCTCACTATCTCCTTTCTACTCTTTTCTTCTATACTTCCACAATGGCGACCAGAGTTGTACTGGCGATTTTGTTGTGTCTTGTTGCTTGTGGGTCGAGCTCTCAGTTGCATGAGCGGCACTCGTTCAGGGAAGAAGCTCAGCAATGCCGACTCGACAGGATTCGATCAATGCCTCCATCGCGTCGTATCGAGTCCGAGGGAGGCATCACTGAGCTTTGGGATGAAGCTGAGGAAGACTTTCAATGTGCTGGAGTTGCTGCCGTTAGAAACATCATAAGGCCCAACTGTCTCTCTTTGCCTAAATTCCACAGCTCCCCTATGCTCATTTACATCGAGCAAGGTACGATTTGAACGAAATTCGTTTCAAAATTACTCACAAACATGTTCTAAAAATTATGGTTTACGAATGGAACAGGTGAAGGGTTTTTGGGGCTGAACTACCCGGGGTGCGCGGAGACATACGAGGCACAGTCGGCACAATCGTCAAGAAGGTCTTCAAGGCGCATGGGACGTCGAATTGGCGCCGGGAAAGAGGATGACCAACACCAAAAGGTGCGGAGAGTTCGCCGTGGTGACATGATCGTTGTGCCTGCTGGGACTGTCCAATGGTGCCACAACGACGGCGGGCAAGACCTCATCGCCATTGCCTTCTTGGATCTCAACAACGAAGACAACCAACTCGACCTCCGCATCAGGGTATTCCAATTCTACCTTAAAAATCTAAACTTTTATGGTTTATAAGTAAGGAATACATCTCCATTGGTACGATGCCTTTTGGAAAACCGAAAGCAAAGCGATAAGAGCTAATGCTCAAATTGGACAATATCATACCATTGTGGAGGTTCGTGATTTCTAAACGACCAATATTACGTTATTTTGTAGGGATCTTTCTTGGCGGGTGGAATTCCAAGGGAAGAAAGGAGGGAACTTAGAGGATCAAAAAATAATGATCTTGTGAACATCTTTAGTGGGTTCGATCAGGAATTTCTTGCACAGGCTTACAACGTTCCAACAGATTTGGTGAGGAAAATGCAAGAAGAAAGGAGCAGTGGACTGATCGTGAAGTGTGATGAACAAATGTCGTTTTTGACACCGGAGGAGGAGGAAGAAGAATTGAGTGAATCGCCTTCAAGAAGGGAAGAGATATCAAATGGATTGGAAGAAACCATATGCACTGCTAGAGTTCAGCACAACATGAACACCCAAAGAGAAGCTGATGTATACTCCAGGGAGGCTGGTAGGGTTAACATTTTGAACCAACTCAAGCTCCCTATTCTCAGATTCATGGGCATGAGTGCAGAGAAAGGCCATCTCTTCTCGGTAAATAGTAACTCTCATTTCATTTATTTGAGCCGAACTCAATCAAATAAGTTCATTGTGAGATCCCAAGTTGATTGAAGACGAGAATGAAGCATTCTTTACCAGAGTGTGGAAACCTCTCCCTAGTAAATACGTTTTAAAAATCTTGAGGGAAACCCCAAAGAGGGTAATATCTACTAGCCGTGTGTTTGGGCTGTTACAAATGGTATCAGACTTAGACACCAAGTGGTGTGTTAGCGAGAACGCTGGGTTCCCGAAGGGTGGATTGTGAGATCCCACATCGGTTGGAGAGGAGAACGAAATATTCCTTGTAAGGGTGTGTAAACCTCGCTTGAAGACGACAATATCTATTAGCGGTGTGCTTGGGCCGTTACAAATGGTATCAGAAACAAACACGAGTAGTGTGCTAGGAAGGACACTGAGTCCCAAGGGGTGGATTGTGAGATTCCACATCGGTCGGAGAGCGGAATGAAGCACTCCTTATAAGAGTGAAAACCTCTCCCTAGCAAATGCTTTTTAGAAACCTAAGTCTGAAAGGGAAAGCTCAAAGAGAACAACATTTGCTAGCGATGTGCTTGGGCCGTTACAAATAGTATCTGAGCCAGACACTGGACAGTGTGCCAGCAAAGATGCTGGCCCCAACGAGATGGATTTTGAGATCCTACGTCGGTTGGAGAGAGGAATGAAACATTATTTATTAGAGTGTGTAAACCTTGCACAAAGAGAACAATATCTGTTAGTGGTGTGCTTGGGTCATTTCAAATGGTATCAGAGCTAGACACCGAGCTGTGTGCCAACGAGGACAGTTGCCCCAAGGGGATGAATTGTGAGATCCCACATCGGTCTGGTGTGTCAGCGAGACGCTGGCCCCCAAAGCTGTGGATTGTGAGATCCCACATCAGTTGTAGAGGGAAACAAAGTATTTCTTAGAAGTGTGTGAAAACTTTTTCCTATTAGACGCGTTTTAAAAACATTAAGGAGAAACCCAGATGGAAAAAGCCTGAAGAGTACAATATCTACTAGCACTAGGGTTGAACCGTTACCTTCATAATCCAACCCAAATGGTATAAATACAACCTCCACCGGTCAATCTAACATTTGGTTTTGGCATTACAGAACGCACAATACAACCTCCACTGGTCAATGACAGACCACAGACTAGTATACGTAGTAGACGGAGAAGCAAACTTCCAAATATCCGATGACTACGGCAACCAAGTGTTCAACGAGCGAGTATCAAGAGGAAACATGTTCGTGATACCCCAATTCTACCCCGCATTGGTTCAAGCCGGCCAAGAAGGGTTCGAATGGATCACTTTCAAGACCTCAAACCAGCCAATGAAGAGCCCAATCGCAGGCTACACATCCTTCTTCCGAGCCCTTCCACTCCAACTCCTCGAACAATCATTCCAAATCACAACCGCCGAGGCTCAGCAGCTGAAGCAAACAAGAAGGCAACACACTTTCCTCTTCCCACCTAGCAGCGGCAGCAGCAGCCGCCGCCACAGGTCTTAAGAGGTCCCTTTTGCCACTCGTAGAGATATGAATAATAATAATAATAATAATAAGGCCACAGGTGTTGTTGGATGGCGCTGTCTTTGTTATCTTTGTTTAGGGTTGTTGTTCTTTAAGTTCTTCTTCTTGTAGAATAGAGAAGAAGGGTGTTTCTAATGAAGATGAAGGAGTTTTAAAATTATCCAAAGTGTAATACTATATGCAATAACTTATGAATAATGTAATAAAATATGTGGCCTGTCTTACTTCTTTCCTCATTTTGTTTTGCCAAATACGAAAATTGCTTTATAACGGTGTGATGATCCAAATTTTCGTTCTATGTCATCGTCATGTCATTCATATCCAAATTTCTATTTGAAATTCTAAAATATTTGTAAAAGTTGAACGAGAGGCTAAAAGTGTATAATATAGGGGTTGTGGCATTTACTATTACCATCCAAGATTATGTTGTAGGGTAGTAACAATATAAATTAATCATAAAAAGTTTGAATCGAATGAGAAATTAAGAAAACTAGTTGAACCGAACAAGAATGAAGAGAATCAACAACGTGAATTGAACCAAAACAAAGAGAAAAACTCACCCGAACCAATTGTTGGACCCGGATTAGAGCGTTTCACGAGAGAAGATGTATCATGTTGTTTGTGTAACTAGATTTGAGCACCCCTACTCACACCTATCATGTTGTTGGTTTTTCTTGCATATGTGGTCACCAAACGATGGGATGACATTGAGTTGTCTCCAAGACGTGAATGTCAAACTCGTTGAATTTATTGTAGTCTTAAGAAACCCGTGTAGTGAAACATGATCAATAAAATATAAATCAACGATCGACTACTACAATAGGTGGTCGAAAGTTCCATTACAACAAAATGAGAGGATTGACCCAAAGGGGTAATGAAAAAATGTTCAAAAATAGTCGTGGGACATGAGGAGTGCACTAGGGCGAGGATATGATGAAAACAACCAATGAAGCTATGATAGTTGTGGGATGACTGATTATGGCCAATATTGAAATTTATGTTCTAAAGGCTCGTAATTAATTATTTTATTTTACAATAACTTTAATTTAATGTTATCAATTATATGAAAAATTATAAGGTTATTAGTGTAATCTTGAACGGTACATGGTTATCATATAAGATGATCATTATCATGTACAACTAATAATTAAAAGGTCTATAACGTATGAATGAAATTTGGTGCCTTATCCCAGTAGCACGAGATGAGATCGAAGGTTACTCTATGTCACAGTCATGCTTGTCTAAGGTGTGTTGTCTATGGTCGTATGTCGAATGTCTCAATCATGCTTGTCCAAAATGTATTGTCTATGACCGCATGCCCGTTACAATCTTCTTATACATGCTTTTATCTTAGATGAGCCTTTACTATTTCATGTTGTATGACTTTTCACCAAAATCATGTTTACATATGCGAGCGCTAAAATGCCCCAAAATGTACTTTAGGGGGATGTGACTAGTCGTCAATTTTTCCTACACTAGGATATATGCTATTTAAGCGATAGTGTTCTTTCTTTACTTATAGCCATATAACGTTGCTTTCTTCCATTCTTTCAAACTATTTTCAGATGTATTTTCTCGTTCACGCTTTTTAAAACATTTCTAGCAAAGTGACTCGAGACTCGAGCATACACCGATTTTGTTCATAAAATCCAAATTTCTCGAGGTTGACTTGTTCATTGAGTTAGAACGAGTGTCACACAATCGTTGTCATGCTACTACAAAAGTACAATTGTGACACTCTGCGCTTGTGTAAAAAAAAGATCAGCTCCTTTTTTATTTATTAGTAATATATAGATCTGAGAGAATTCCAAAACTAGGATTCGTTCCTAAAAATTTACATTACAAACAATATCAACCTTAAAAAATGGCACCCCTTCGAGACTCCCAAATTACAAGCTAGCCCACAACGATTTTTCCACGGTAGCTGCTTCTCCCTTCCTCCTCTCTCCGTTCTATCGTCCAAACAAGGCTAACACTTGGAGTGAAGTCGTAAAAATCTAAATTTAATGTTCGTTTTCAAATTTAGGTTAATTCATAAAAAGAATAAAATCCGTAAAACAAACATAAACATTTGATTCTCATATATTAATTATCGGACATATTCGAACACAATATCGTATCAAAACCAAACAACTAAACTACAAATACTTTGGGAAGTGAGAAATGTAAGACAACATAAACGACACAATGTAAAGTGCCAACACAAACCTTATAAATCAGAATTTGCCCTTCATTTCTTCAGATACCTAAAGCCACCTCCGACATACCAAAACAATGATGTGTTGAAACACAAAGGCATTTCCAGCCATGCAATATGAAAAATGGCAAACTCTTCTCAATCGTGTCCAACCCTTCACCATATTTCTCCATCTATAAATCCCAACATTTCCCACTTCCCAAATCACTTCAAACAATACACCAAACACAAACATTAGCCATGGGAAACCCTCTTTTACTCTCCTTTTCCCTTTGCTTCTTAGTCCTCTTCAATGTCTGCCTAGCAACCGATCAAAACATCCAAGGCTACCGCAGCCGGCGCTATGGTGAGAGCCAGCGCTACGGTGAGGGCCAGCGCCGGTACCGCGAGTGCCGCCTTGACCGACTCGATGCCCTCGAACCCTCGAACCGTATCGAGGCCGAAGGCGGAGTGATTGAGATGTGGGATCCTAACCATGAGGAGTTTCAATGCGCGGGCGTGGCTTTCCAGAGATACTTAATTGACCCCAAGGGTCTTCTCCTTCCTCAGTACACTAATGCCCCACGGCTTATGTACGTTGAGAGAGGGAGAGGGTTCAAGGGAGTTGTGCTTTCGGGTTGCCCTGAAACGTACCAAGAGTCTCAGCAATCGGCTGGGGAGTTTCGTGATCGCCACCAGAAGATCCGTCGTGTTCGCACCGGTGACCTCTTTGCTGTGCCTGCTGGCTCTGCTCATTGGACGTATAATGATGGCAATGAGAAACTTATTGTCGTTGTTCTTCTTGACGTTAGTAACCATGCAAACCAACTGGACTTCCATCCAAGGGTATGTCAATTTGAATTCATGGGTCGTAATAAATTTACTAGATTTGCTAAATTTAAGAAGTTTTTAGTAATGGGTCACAATAAATTTACTAACTTTACTAAATTGAAGAGTTTTTAGTAATGGGTCGTTCTCTACAACGGTATGATATTGTTCACTTTGAGTATCAGCTCACCATGATCACTCTCTCCCAACAATTCTCAACAATCTTTATCTTGAACAAAGTATACCATAGAGTCTCCCGTGATGTCTATGGAGCTCTAGAACAATCTCCTCTTAATCAAGACTCAACTTCTTCTCTGAAGTCCTCGAACAAAGTACACTATTTATTCAACACTTGAGTCACTTTTGACTATACCTTCGAGTCATACAACTTTCATAGAGCCTCCCCTGATGCCTATGGAGCCCTCGAACAACCTCCTCTTAATCGATGCTTGACTCCTTCTCTGGAGCCCTCGAACAACCTCCTCTTAATCGATGCTTGACTCCTTCTCTGGAGCCCTCGAACAAAGTACACTTGAGTTACTTTGTACTACACCTTCCAGACCCACAACTTCTTTATTCGACATTTAAAAATTCTATTGACATGGCTAGGTTAAGGGTATGGATATGATACCATATTAGAAACCACAACTCTCTATGGTATGATACAGTTGACTCTGAGCATCTTCTCTCGTAACTTTACTTTTAGTGAATGGAGATGTATTCCTTACTTATAAACTCATTTATCACTCCCTTAATTAGCCAACGTGGGACTCCTCCCCAACAATTCTCAACAGGGTCACAATAAATTTAATTTCTTTTTCAGGCGTTCTACTTGGCCGGAAACCCAGAGGAGGAATTCCCGGAGAGGAGATCGGATTGGAAGCAAGAGCAAACACGACATAGTACCCGCCGGGAGGGATCAAGCAACAAGAACAACATCTTCTTTGCCTTCGACGACGGAGTTCTTGCCGAAGTTCTCAACATAAACACCGAGATGGCGAGGAAGCTTCGTGGAGAAGACGACTTCCGACGCAACATCATAAAGGTCGAGGGACAATTCGAGGTAATCAAGCCACCAAGATCACGAGGAGGACAAAGAGGAGACGAACAACAATGGGAGGAGGAACAAGAGGAGGAGCAAGAGAGAGCAGACGAGCGCAGCCGAGGCCGACGAGGCCACCGATGGGCGGACGAAAACGGTTTGGATGAAACCATTTGCTCTATGAGATTAAAGGAGAACATTGGCGATGCCTCCCGCGCTGATATCTACACACCTGAAGCTGGTCGTCTTAGCACCACCAACAGCCACCGCTTCCCCATCCTCCGCTGGCTTAAACTAAGCGCCGAGCGTGGTGTCCTTTATAGAGTAAGCGCACAACCCCACATAGCTTTGAGTCAATTTGAGCTAATTTTGAACTAAACCAAACCATTCTTTGTGCACAACAGAACGCAATGTACGTGCCGCACTGGAACCAAAACGCACATAGTGTCATATTCGTAACAAGAGGGCGAGCTCGAGTACAAGTAGTCGACGACCGAGGCCAAACCGTATTCGACGGAGAGCTACAACAACGGCAGCTACTAGTGGTACCACAAAACTTCGCCATAGTGAAGAAAGCAAGCGACGAAGGGTTCGAATGGGTATCATTCAAGACCAATGACAACGCCATGATCAGCCCACTGGCCGGGCGGACCTCAGCCATGAGAGCCTTCCCAGTTCAAGTCATTGCCAGCGCTTATAGAATCTCAAACGAAGAGGCTCTAAGGCTGAAATTCAACAGGGAAGAGACCACTTTGCTGCCCCCACGCATGTCATCATCGGCACGTAGGGCTAACCCAATAGAAGCTATGTAAAGCGCTTTGGCTTGGTTTGGTTTGGTTTGCTAGGAAGGGCCAGTTTTGGCTTTTGTTTTTATGGTGTAATAATTTAGGTTTTAAAGCTTCGGAATAATCGTAATAATAATAATAATAATAATAAAGACGAGGCCTTTCTTATACAACAACTTATGTTTTGTTCCATCCATCTTTTTGTCTAATAAATCTCTAAACTTTAAAAACAATTCGAACACTATTTTTCAAACCAATCTCGACTATTTGTTGAACAAGATGTACATTGGGACGGTGGGCTTCACTTTTGATCTGTAATACACAGTCTTCTTGCTGTTGAAAGTTGGATTCTCAATTGTGATAACAATCTTTCCAGGCTCATTGATGTAGAAAGAATTCCTCAAGCTCTCTCCCATTTTTTTCTGATTTTGCAACTGAATTCTGTATGATCCTTCATCTTCTGGCAGGAATTCTTCCTTGTACACCACGTCCCATCCCGCTACCGTCACATCCCACACTATCGTTACTCCAGTCTGCAAATTCAATCGTAACCTGTTAGCTTAAACTTTTAGATTAGGTTCAAAGAAGGGTTTGTCGAGCCCCTCAGCCTACAAATCCAAGTTGTAACACATTAACTTAAACTTTTAGATTAGGTTCAAAGATGGAGTTTGTCACCCCCAACCTGCAATTCCAATCATAATCCATTAACTTAAATGGTTAGATTAGGTTCAGAGACGGGGTTTGTCACCCCAGCCTGCAAATCCAATTGTAACCCATTAACTTTTAACTTTTAGATTAGGTTCAAAGACGTGATTGTCACCCCAACCTGCAAATCCAATCGTAACCCATTAACTTATTCTTTTAGAAACTTTTAGATTAGGTTAAAAAACGTAGTCTAACCCCACAAGTCTTGGCTTACCTCAGGAGCGGGGAATTCAATGGTTCCAGCGAAGTTTCCTTTAACGGTAAGCTCTGAAGTTTTATCAGCTGGTGAGAATTCGTCGTCGTCATCTCTTTTAAGCCCGCCATATCGAACTGGCAATTGTTCTGGGGCGATAAACCTGGATTACAACAGTCCAAACCAATTGCTTAAAAGTATTCCATGCAAAACTTTTGAAGATAAAAAGGTCCCTAACAAGCTCACTTGAGAAGTGTCTTTGACACTTTTGATTGATGGGCAAAGATGAACTTTGCCTTGGTTTTATGGCTAATAATCTTCGACCGGAGTATATGTCGAGCATAATACCAAAACGGAGCGTTTATAACTATCTGTATAAAAATAAAAAACTACGACCTCTTAGAAAACATAGAGATGGCAACAAGTATCGTTCAAACCCAGAAGAGAAAGAATCATTCACGTTTTTATAAACAAGCTCGGGATAATGATCTTGTATAAGCAAGAGAGCTTTCTTGCTAACACTACGAAACTCCTTCATAGCAGGACCAGGAGAGTTTTTCAAATCCGTAATTTGAACGATAGAATCAACGCCTCCTTTCTCAAATCTCAACCGTTGGATCCCTTTCTCCATATTTTGAACCATCCATCTCAAGAACTCCTCACATTTCTCATCAGTTCCAAACGTTCTTTGATACATTTCTCTATCTCTCAACGCCGCATTTGCATGAAACCAAAGCGGGTGGCCTTCCCTATCTTTACCCTCCAAGAAACCCACCAAATTTTGAAGGTCACCTCCAAGTTTCTCCTCAAGAATCTCATCAGCTTTGTATTCTTTGCGCCATTTCAAAGTGTTCTTGAGCATGTCAAACGCGTCAGAGACTTTATAGCGTTGAGCTTTCAAGAACTTCTGGAGCAAAACGTCGGTACCTGTTAAAAATATTTAGTACTGAATTATAGTTTACCATACATATCATATCATATTTAGAGCAAAACGTGTTCGATACCTTCGTGCCCTTTGCTTGGTAGCAAAGGGACTCCCCATAGGCTTATTTCTTTGTGATGTTCTTTGGGTTTGGGTTTGCCTAAAAGATAATTGCCTATGATTGCTTCTTCCACCTTGCAACGAAATTCAATTAAAGCTCTCTTTTTCTTCTTTTTTCTTAACTTTTTCTCCATTTCATCCAATTCTTTTTCGCTCATTTCGCCGTCTGATTTTTCCTGTTCATCAAATAAGGCCCAATTTTGTTTTTTTAGTTCAAATAAAGATAGTAAACAAGTACACAATTTGTGGATATTACTATACTCTACAATGTAATGAAATCGAAATCGGTTTATAAAGTATAAAAAAACGGTTTTTAAGTTGTTAAAATTTAGGTCAAATTAATAAAAATACTCGTAAACTTTATACTTTATGTGAAAGTATTATAAACGGTTAATTTTGGAGGGAAACCGTTACTACTTTGTTTCAAAAATACTCATAACATTTCAAAAATGTTTCAAAAATATTTTTGAATTTTGAAATTTAATTAATACCCTTCAACTTTATAAAAAAAATACGGTTTATGTCTACATATTAATAATATTTTTTTTAAAAAAATTAAAAGATATTAATTTTTCTTTGGATAGTTTATGAGTTTTTTAAAACGTGGTATTAACGGTTCTGTCTGTATTAAATTTTTAGAAAAATTGAAGCGTTTAAAGTTTGAGTATTTTTTAAATATTTTTAATTTTTTTTAATGATATTTTGAAAATGAATAATATGGGTATTTTTTTTTCTTTTAAAGTTTAAAAATAATATTGATTTGAAATTTCAATAATATTTTTTTTTTAACAAAGTATAAAGTTTATTGGTTTTTTTTTTTTTTTTTTTTTTTATTATTAGTTAGTCTAAAATATGCCAACAAAATTGGAAGTATATTATTTAATAAATTATAAAAAATGAAAAAAATGACTATTTTTTTTTAACCCTAATATAAAAATTGAAACTCAATAAAATATGAGAAATTAAATAAACATGACAAATTAAAAATAAATATAATATTTTTTAAAGAAAAATAGAAAAATCAAGCTGAACCAAATTTATAATTTAACAGAAATGATTGACGAAAAGATGGATCTCACCTGATCATCTTCTAGATGATCAAGTTCTTCATCGTTGTTGATGGAGAAGTTCATATCATCTTCCATAATAGTTTCGTCGGAGACCTTCTTCTTTCTCTCGACCACCATGTTTTCTTCTCCAAATTCTAGGACTTTGACGATCGGGAAGATTGTTGTCGTAAAATTAGATACCGGCTTAACTAGAACCGATTAGAATATGAGATTGATAGAAAAAAACAAAAAATGATCGATAAAGTAATAACAATGGAGAATTTATTGAATCGAATGACAAAAAGTTCATGTCTAGCCATTGATTTTCTTCTCCCAAATTTAGGAACTTTTCTTTTTCAGATTATGATTTTGGTTCATTTGTTCCTAACAAAACTGATTATCAAATGATTTGTGGATATGAATTGGCGTTGTTCCAAATTTGTGGTTCTTATCAATTCCAATAAACTTGGAATTTGATATATAATAAGAACAGTACTTAGAGGACGGGAAATTAAATTTACCGATAAACTTGGTAAGACATATATCTTACTCGAGTTACACTTGTTATGCTTGTAATCTATCTCTTAAGACCTCAATTTGTTCGTTTCTAATCTAGCCGTTGGAGCTCATCGTTCTCCTTAATCTAGCTCTTTCGAGTTTTATACATTCATTAGTCTTGACTATACAGCTCCTTCGAGCTCATCTATCTTGTTAGAGGTATTTGAAGTCATTCGATAACCGAGTTAGCTTATAATTATTCTCTACATCACATTTCCTAATCTAATTCTTTCGGACTCATCGTTTTTCTTGCTCCTTGAAATTCAGGAGTCCATAAACTATTCTCTTGGGGTTATCTATCAGCTCATCATCAGATACTAATGTGAATCTTGTTTTGACGGTTTACGACTAAGCACGACCTAGCAAACCCGTTTTATATTAATAATTAATACCATTATTAGATAAGAATTCTAATTAAAATAATCTCAAAGCTTAGAAGTGTAAATTGATATTTTCCCACCAAAAAAAAAGACAAAGTAATAGCTTTAAGATTAATGGAGCTACATTGATATAAAATATCTATATATATTATAATCGTGTCCTAAAATGATGTGAGGATGATTAAGATATTTGTTATGATAAGACTAAACATAAAACTACAACATTCGGACACATACATGTTGACTTTTCGTACGACATTTAGATATATTAACTTTTCATACAATATTCAGACACATTGACTTTTTGTATGACATTCAAATAACTTTTTCTAAGATATGCTGACTCTTTTTTTTTTTTTTTACGAGGTTGACTTTTTCTCAAATATTCTAAAAATAGATTTTTTTTTTCTTTAATCAAATATGAAGATTAATACGGTAACTTTTTTTAAAAAAAATATGAGTGTATATATATATTTATTGGTTTTTCATGGGCAGCAGGAGAGCCATTTTGAGGTTGGGCCAGGAAGATATGGTTAGAGAAGCCCAGTCTCCCATGGGGCCCGACCACATCCTCTTCGCCCGAGGAAGATGCCGCATTTCTCAACCCAAACTAATCTCTCCCTTTATCGGTGATATTCCCAAACACAGGCCAGTAGGGCAAAGAAGAACGTAGCGGAAGAGCGAAAATCCTCAAAAGAAATGCAGCTCTAAAACCCTTTTTCCCCCAACTAAAACCTTTCCTTCGAGCTGTTCAAACCAGCAATGTCTCAACTCCCTCATCTTCTTCCTAACAACGCTACAGGTTTCTGTTCTTGATATCTACAAATTCGTTGTTGGGTACTCTTTAATTTTGTGCTTTGTTTCCTTGAAAGCTTGGAAATTAAGTATTATCTTGTTTACATTTACTGGGTGTCTTTGATTTTCTTCTAGTTTTATGGGTTTTGTGCTGCCTGAGGACCCTGAGCTTCTTGAATTTTGAATTTCTATTTGGGAAGGGTTTTGTGGTTCTTGATTTTGTCTATGTTTTGCTGTTCTTTCCTTTCCTATGTGGAAATTATGGAGAAATTATGTGACTGTTGCGCAACTAGTTTAAGTTCAGTTTTAGAGTACTTAATACCACTTTCCGATTGCTTGAAAATTATCTACTTAGTTGGATTATGTGCGAGATCCCCACATCGGTTGGGGAGGAGAACGATACATTCTTTATAAGGGTGTGGAAACCTCTCACTAGTGGAAGCGTTTTAAAAACCTTAAGGGGAAGCCTAGAAGGGAATGATAGAAGAGGACGATATTTGCTAGCGATAGACTTAGGTTGTTACAAATGGTATCAGAGCTAGACACCGGGTGATGTGTCGGTGAGGAGGCTGAGCCCCAAAGAGGGATGGACATGAGACGATGTGCCAGCAATGACGCTGGCCTCGAAGGGGGTGGATTGAGGGGTCCCACATCGATTAGAGAAGGGAACGAGTGCTAGCGAGAATGCTTGGCCCCGAAAGAGAGTGAATTGTGAGATCCCACGTCGGTCAGAGAGGAGAACGAAACATTCTTTTTTAAGGTGTGGAGACTTCTTCCTAGCAGACCCGTTTAAAAACCTTGAGGGGAAGCCCAAATAGGACAATATCTGTTAGCAGTGGGCTTGGGCTGTTACAATGGTATCAAAGCCAGACACCAGGCAATGTGCCAGTGAGAAGGTGAGCCCCAAAGGGGGATGGACATGAGACGGTGTGCCAACAAGGACGCTGAGCCCTGAAGGGGGGTGGATTTGGAGGTCCCATATCGATTAGGGAAGGGAACGAGTGCCAGCGAGGACGCTGAGCCCCAAACGGAGGTGGATTGTGAGATCCTGCATCGGTCGGGAGGAGAACGAAGCATCCTTTATAAGGGTGTGGGAACTTCTCCCTACCAGACGCGTTTTAAAAACCTTGAGGGGAAGCCCAGAAGGAAAAATCCATAGAGGACAATGTCTGCTAGCGGTACGTTTGGGCCATTACAAATGGTATAAGAGCTAGACACCGAGCAATGTTCTAGTGAGGAGGCTGAGCTCCGAAGGGGGATGGACATGAGGTGGTGTGTTAGCAAGGACATTGGCCCCTGAAGGGAGTGGATTGGGGGCTCCCACATCAATTAGAGAAGGGAACGAGTGCCAGTGAGGACGTTGGGCCACGAACGAGTGTGGATTGTGAGATCCCACATCGATCGGGGAGGAGAATGAAACCACGTTTTGAAAACCTTGAGGGAAAATCGAGAAGGGAAAATCCAAAGAGGACAATATCTGCTAGCGGTAGGATTGGGCGGTTACAGATTACTTGACCTGTTTAGCTACTTGATATTATTGCCTTAATTTTGTAGTGGATATGGTTCTGGGCATAACTCAACATCTTGTGGCAAAACTTTCCCTTCTTTCTCTCATGATATTGGCGTTTCTTGAACGTGATCTTGTTGACATGTATTCTGTTTCAATTTCTTGGCTTTATTATACCTTAATCTTGAGTTACATTGAAGTGTTCATAATTTATTGATGTGCCCCCATCCGTTCAGGGAACTGATTGACAATTATATTCGAGTCGTACTTATAGAAACTAATGTTGTTTTTTCTTATCGGTCACTATTGATGCATTATTGATGTTCAAAAGTAAGCTGACAACATGGTTTGCAATCGCACGAATTGGTTGTAGAAACATAAGATTGTTCATATATCCCCAAATCATGAGACTGTAACAATCCAAGCCCACCGCGGGTAGATATTGTCCTCCTTGGGCTTTCCCTCAAGGTTTAAAACGTATCTGTTAGGGAGAGGTTTTCACATCCTTATAAGGAATGCTTTGTTCCCCTCTCCAACCGACCACCCTCTTGGGGGCCAGCGTCCTCGCTGGCACACCACCCGGTGTGTAGCTCTGATACCATTTGTAACAACTCAAGCTCACCACTAGCCGATATTGTCCTCTTTGGACCTTCTCTTTCGGGCTTCTCCTCAAGGTTTTTTAGAAATGCCTCTGCTAGGGAGAGGTTTCCGCTAGCCGAGGACGCTAGACCTCGAAAGGGTGTGGATTGTGAGATCCCACATTGGTTGGGGAGGACAACGAAACCTTCTTTATAAGAGTGTGGAAACCTCTCCCTAGCAGACACGTTTTAAAGCCTCAAGGGGAAGCCGAAAAGGAAAGCCTAAAAGAGGACAATATTTGCTAGCCCAACAGTGGGCTCGGACCGTTACAAAATCTATTCCCAAATTCGCATTGAAGGTTAAGCAAATTGGATAAAAAAGAAAGGTTTGGGAATAAATCTGCTCTGTTCTTGCAATGTTCATGAGATCTCAGTGTAAGAATGGAATCATACTTTATTTTTGGACTTGGATACTCCTCTTTCATGATTTCCTCGTGATTTTTGTTCTAGTTTTCTTCATATGATCTTGGTTACTAGTGCTGGAAATTTAAAAGTTTATATAAACATGGATTCTTGATTTGATATAGGCTTTGGACTGTCGGATAGCAGATGCCTTCCGTGCTCGGGAGTTTTTGGACGAGCAGCCACCGTCTCTTCTCGCTCTTTATGTACTGAACATAGAATCAATGCGGCAGTCAAATTCCGACCCGTAAACTGTACTTTGTTGCGAGCGTCTTTTACGTGCCAAGCCAGCTCGGGAGGTCATAGGAAGTACTCGGATTTCTCTAAGCAAAATAGGCATGGCTACTCAAGAAGCAGAAATAGGCAAAATGAGGATAGAGACAGCCTTGAACATGTCGATGAATCTGATTTATTGTCGTCGAAGAATGGACCATTTCTTTCTATCTCGAGCAATTCGAAATCCCAAACCACGGCTACCCCGGGTCCAAGGGAGAAGGAAATTGTTGAACTTTTCAGGAAGATTCAAGCACAGCTTCGGGAACGAGCTGCGATGAAAGAAGAGAAGAAAATCGAAGCTCAAGGACAAACAAAAGGGAGTGAGACGGTCGATTCTCTTCTTACGCTATTGAGAAGGCATTCAGTGGAGCAAGGGAAGAGAGGCGGCGGAGGCGTCAAGGACTCGAGTTTTAACCATGTCAAAGAGAATGGTCCTTATGATGAAGGAAAAAGCTCAAGCATTTTTGGCCTAAGTTCTCATTTGAGAGAGAAGGCTCAAGAGCCAACAGGCTCGTCTTTGAGTCGACCTGTTTCAAATTTTCAACGTAAATCCCCCGTGCCTGTGGTGAAGTACCAACCGGTTTCGCCCAGGGAAAATATTGTGAACTCCATTGATGTTGTGAATTCAAAGGGACTGAAACTCAACGGAACCGAGACAGGTTCTCAACTGAAAGCAAAGGTATGGACTCGGCAGGAGTCGGAACGAGAGCACTGGGAAGAGCTGCAATCACAAGGAGAGACAGAGCAGGAGACAGAGCCAGAGCCAGACCAAGAGTTCGAGTTGGAGCCAGAGCCTGAATCGTCGTATGAGCTAGAGCACGAACCTGATGAGATGGAGCCTGAACTTCTTAATTTATTAGGCGTCGATGACACATTTGATGAAGACGTTAAACACGATGAGAAATTTTCGAAGGATGATGATCACGAGGACTTGAACTCATTGAAGCTTGCTGAGCTGAGGGCGATCGCGAAATCTCGGAGTTTGAAAGGGTTTTCGAAGATGAAGAAGAGCGAGCTCGTACGGTTGTTAAGCAACGCTCAGGTATGAAAATTTCATGTTGCACAGGATGTTTAGGGGCTTTTTTTGTTTTGCTTGAATATAATCAATCTGTATGACCAGTTTTGAGTTGAAATTAGCTTTACAGACCTTTTTCCCAGATTGTATATCAGGCTTAGCCTTTTCACAGGTGCAGAGTACTTGCAATCTCTATTCATATGAATCATTTCTAAAAAGCGTTTTTTTAAAGTTGGTGTTGTAAGAACAGGTTATGACTCTCACGAGTGTACTAAAGTAGTGGTGACACGTGAGTATTGCCCATCGAGCTATATCAAAGACCGAGAGAGTTATCTTATGTGATCAAAGAGAATGGTGCATCATCTCGTGTACCAAGAAAATTGGGCAAGATTGTTAGGTTAAGGTTTAAGTAAGAACAAAAGGAACAATGTTGCCTGTGGTGTCAGAGACAAATTTAATGGAGGCCGAATAGAGTCTTAGGCCATGTTCTCGAGAGTTTAGTTTGTATAAATTAAAAATGTTAGCTCGTCAAATTTGATGTCAAACAGATACCAAATAGACACTCTAGAATCAAGTTCGTATAAGTGAAAGATGTAACCTTTCCATATTAGCATTAGCATATGACGCCTCTTAATTTTGATGTGTCATTAAATATACTTTAGAATGTATATCGAGGAGACATGGAGTTGCAAGACAGATGACTTGAGTGTTTTCTTTTAGAAATAGAATTTCAAGGACAGTGTTAGGTGACATGGACGTGTAGACATTGTTCTCGAAGCTATAGATTAAGCTTCGACATGGTATGTAGAAAGTACTCAACATGGAAATGGAAGGGTTCATGCGACAATAGTATCTACTTGGATGAATGTCTACGAGGTTCTGAATATGAAGTTAATTCATAGGTCAATTCTTGATTAGTGTGTTCGAGCAAGTTGCGAAGATGGATCAAAGCATTGGTGAGACTTGAAATTTCAAAAATTAGATCTCGAGACTCAAAAAAAACCTTTTGCAAACACACAATCAAAAGGAATAAATTTCATTTCACTTTGAACCAAAAAACTTTATGTTTTGTTTGGTTTGTTTTCTAAAAACAAAGTATAAAATTTGCTGTTTGAAGTGACTTTGGAATGACAATGGCTACTCCCACACTGTGTATTGTCAGTTAATCTTCTACATGTTTCTTTTTGTTTTGTTGTAATGTTTGGAACATGTCTCGAGTAGAAGGTAGTCATGTAGGGCTTGACGCTCAAGATTCGACCGTGCACTACCTTAAATTATAAGTACCTTTTAATTTGATGGTTGAATTAGTGAATTTAATGAAAATATATCTTTAAATGGTTAGATCTCGAAAAAAAATTGATTAAAAGAAGTGTTTGTCGAGGATTAATGGAGTTAAAATGAGCATGAAAATAGCGAAATCAAGAAACTAAGTAGTTCATTTGAAGCGTTGTTTACAATCAAGCTAGAATGTCAACACGAGTAGCATCTTGATGTGACAATTTGGGGAAGTTCCGTCTAGCTTGATTACGTAGATTGTCTGTAGATCGTACTCAACGACAAAAAGTACCCATTTGTGAGATTTCGACCTTAGTGTTGGGATGGTATTTATGGCATCTTGATGGTACCTCAAAATTTCAAAAATAGCACGAATCTAGGGTATAACATCGATATATTGTCTTTAGCATCTCGATGTTGCCTCGATATCTTATAATTAATTTTTTTTTTAATTTTTAAGTTGTTAAGAGGAGTTATTCAGAGAGTAAAATTCTAAACCCGATTTGTCCACTTTGGAGAGTTTTGAGAGAATTTTTTAGGGTTTGAAGCATGGAATGGTGCAATAAACTAGTGTTCTTTATGAGGTGAATTGACAATTGTTTGTTATCATTCATTCATTAATCGTTATAAACATAGTTCATTAATGAAACGATTTGTTCTTGGTTTAATTCTCTCGGAATAAAATTTGGCATTATCGATGACAATTCTTCCCTCGATTACTAAATTGAAATTTGATATCAGACGACAACGAAGAATTTCATTTTCTACTCAGCTTGAATTGCTTCTAAAAGTAAAAACTATTCCCACATACCAACATGAACGGTGAGATCCCACATCGGTTGGAGAAAAAAACGAAACATCCTTTATAAGGGTATGAAAACATCTCCCTAGCAGACTCGTTTTAAAAACTTTGAGGAGAAACCTGAAAGGGGAAGTCCAAAGAGGACAATATCCACTAGCAGTGGGTCTGAGCCAGAGTAAGAGTCCAAATCCACTACTGGGAGAGCTTTCTACACCCTTATAAAAAATGTTTCGTTCTCTTTTCCTTTCTAACTGATGTGAGATCTCACAATTACCCTTACCCAATATTTCAAAAAGTAGGCATCTTTTTCAAAATAATAATAATGATAACAATATCAAACATTTTCTTTTTTAGACTCATAATTTTTTTTAAAAAAAAAAAAAAAAAAAAATCCAAGAAGCCTAGAAATTAAATGCCTTACCCACCTTTAGTTAGATTGAGTTATGTTTATTTAATTAAATGGATTCAACAATTATTTTTTAAAAATATTATAGAATTATGTGATCCAAATAATTCAAATAGCAAATTCGATTGAAGACAACACTCTTCCTCCTTCTCACGAAACGCGTTCTTACAAAGGTGACATAAGAGGACCTGAAAACCCGAAATAGTCTGGACAAAATTCACCATTCGAATAATTAGGTTGAGTCTAAAAAATGTCACAACTCAATCCAACCCAACAAACTTGAATAATTATTGTCTAGTTCGTTTTCTAAACTATGTTAGTCATGTTTTAAACGCTTGATTGTATTTGGTTTTTTTAAATTCAATGTATTGCTTGAAATGATGTTTATTAAATGCACACACGTTTTTAATAGTCTTAAATTATTGTATATTTGTAACTATTTCAAATCCTTCAATAACGATCCATTGCTCGAGTTGCTCGAAAAACAAATCGTCATGAGCAAACGAGAAATGAAAAGTGGTGACCAAAGCATTGAGATTTGATATGCTTCATTACTTTATTGATTACTTTATCATTATTTTCTTCTTCCAATTGAATGCACAATTTGGTGATGCAAAAAAGCTTAGGATGCTCATGGCATTTATTCTATAGAGATCCAACAAAGTTGCCATTAAACTTTGTTCAATTGTAGTTGAACGTGATTAAGACCCAATTGGCATCCTAAGCAAATCCAAGATTACCCTAAAGCTATAACTATTCTTTCTCAAGCCTCGTGGTTCGTATAAGGTATCGAAAACAAATATCAATCTAGCTAATCGAAAATTTATCATTGGAGTAGGAATCTTACAGAATTTCATATGAAAATTGAGATTTGTAACGGTGTAGCGATCTAAATTTCGTTATAGCTAGGTTATCGGTGTAACGCTCCTGATCCCTATTTTTGTTTGAAATTCTAGAATTTCAGGTTTTCAAGAGTAATTTTGAAACTTTGGAAAGTGTTCGTGTATTTTTTAAACAAATGACGAGGTTCGTGGATACTATTTATAATTTAAGAATATCAGCTTATACCTCTAAACTTATCACTTACCGTCACAGACTAATAACTATATGAATTAAAAACCTTAAATTTTATGTGAGTTCTCACATCAGTTGGAGAGTGAAACGAAACATTTTTTATAATGGTGTGGAAATCTTTCTCTAGCAGACGCATTTTAAAAACCTTGAAGGAAACCCGAGAGGAAAAGCTTAAGGAAGACAATATTTTCTAGCGATGGGTTTGAGTTGTTGCACTTTCGTAAATGAGTAAAAAATTTCACATGTTTATTACTAGATATCTCTATTAGTATCTTATCTTCTTTCTCGCTACTTAATTTGGATAGAGAACATCCATTTTATTTGGTGATTTTGAGCGGATTTTAAACGAAAATAAGCATAAACCAGCAACGAATGCACTGATTCATTTATGAAACGTTAAGATCTATCCTCACTTGCTTGAGAAGAATCATGTCCTAACTTTTTTTTTTTTTGTCACTACTTGATTAGGTCATACGAGAGAACATCCATCTTATTCGGTGATTTTGAGTTGATTTTAAACGAAATTAAGCAAAAACCAGTAACAAACACTTTGATTCACTTATAAAGCATTAAGATCTAAATTGATAAACTTATTAGCTTGAGATCTAAACCGACACCACCGGGAGCGACGGGTCCATAAACATATCATGTTATTCTCTTGAAATTTAGATTTCAAGCTTTTTGGGTGTCTCCATCTAAACCTAATGTCCACCTCTTTTCACCAAAAGAAGTACCATTATAACTTCTCTCTCTCAACAATTCAATACACCAATAATAACACTAACAAACACAAAAAAGAGCTCAATTAATTACCTCTTCATCTCCTTTTTGGGTTAAAACCAAACACAAAACATACTCAGAAACCAAAGACAACATTTTCAGAAACCATAATCTACTCAAAACATAAGATGAAGCTAAAAATCAGCTGTTTTGCTGTTCTTTTTGTGGTTTCTTCTCATATCCCATAAGAAAAGGTTAATAAAAATCCTCTCTTTCTCTGTCTAAGGCTCTTACACACACTTCAAGAATGGATATTTTAATAATTCCAATCAAATAAATCAAATCTTGTGTCTTAGATTTTCTTTCTTTTTGTCCACTCTCTTGCTTTTCATGACTAGCAAACATTTTAGTATAATCAAAATATATTCATCCATTTCTCTCTCCTCCTTCAATATTTATTTCCACAAACCCTAATTGAAAAGAACACAAATTTTTGGAACCCAAATGGATTCAATAATCCCTGAATTTGAAGGTCTCAACAACACCCAACAATTTGGAGTGTCAAATCTTCAAAACTTAGGTATTGGGTCATCTTCATCTTCATCAAACAGCCGCTATGAGAATCAAAAACGGCGAGATTGGAACACATTTTGCCAATACCTTAAAAATCACCGACCGCCATTAGCTCTTTCAAGGTGTAGTGGAGCTCATGTTCTTGAATTCCTTCGCTATTTGGACCAATTTGGTAAGACCAAAGTGCATACTCCGATCTGCCCTTTCTATGGCCATCCTAACCCTCCAGCTCCATGTCCTTGCCCTCTACGCCAAGCTTGGGGTAGCCTTGATGCCCTTATTGGCCGCCTTCGAGCTGCCTTTGAAGAGAACGGTGGGATGCCTGAAGCTAACCCTTTTGGTGCTCGTGCTGTTAGGCTTT